TCTCCGGACTATATAGCACAACCGCAGAAAAGAATGCGTTAGAAGCTATGAACACGTATTTTAACATATTGAATTCATCCGCAATCTCCAAAGCATCAGTTCCAAACAAGTCGACAACTAGAGCCGTCGGTCTAACCTCCATCTTAGAGATTTCGGATCGGAGAAATGGAACAGACTCCAGCATCAATATCACTAGTTTTGTTGCTAATGATGCATCGGGTTCAACTAGTTTGGAGAGGTCAACAAAAGGGAGCAAAACGATATCGAGGAGATTAGGGTCTGGTGATTGGAGGAGTTGGGAGTGTGTGATCGAGGCATGATCGGCTGCCACAACAAAGACGGTAACTTTGAAGCTGTGATGGGAGATAAGGCGCTTGGCAAGCTCAAGGACGGGGATCAAGTGTCCCATGCCAGGGCTTGCAAGGAGGGCTACATGAGGCTTTGTGCCTTGCATGGATGCTGCAGGTTTGCTGAGAGCTGCCTTTGGATTAAAGGAAAGAGAAACAAGATGGGGCTTAGGGGGATAAGTTTACAAGCCAAGTGCCTAGAAAGGCGGTGCAAGGCTATTTGTTAAAGCAGCGAGTTTCTTTCTTCTCTCTTCCTCTCATATTCTTCATCATTGGTTTTTATGGAGTTTTTTTTAAACAAATTGATTTTGATATATTTAATTATATATTTTAAGTACTACATAAAATTTATAGCTCATACTTTTAATATAATAAATGAAAAAAATGACAACTAATATTTAAAAAAACGAACAAATAAAATGAGAATAAGGAGAGCATAACAAAATATATGGTAATGTTTGAATAGAAAATTTTCTACTTAATTTCGTGTCGGAGTAAAAAATTTTTTAAAAATAAAAACATAAACATGTGACATTAAAAATTTTGAAAAAAATAAAAAAAATAAACTTGTGGCACTAAAAATTAAAAAAAATAAAAAATAAACATATAAAGTACAATTACAAAGTAAAATATTAAAGAAAACGCCAAATGAGACATAGTATTTCTGTTCCTAAAGCTTCGCATTCGCGAAACATATGATGCAAAGCTAATTTCCCCTTGCCCCCACCCATCTTCTCAAAGCACCTTTTTTCAGCTTACTTGGATAAACACAAGGGCAGCAACGTCCTCTTAACCTTCTTAACTCCATTATAGAGAACTATATGTCTTTTTTTCCTCTTTTCTCCAAATATTCTAATAAATTACGCCATATATATATAATTTGTTACAAGCAACAAGGCATTAAAATTTGTATTATGATTTGTACAATATAATTCCATGGGTATAAAATTTGCTCTATAATTTGCATCATAATTGCGTGTAGTTCAAAATAAAATATGTACACAATTGTCAATTGCGTTAGCATCACGCACCACGATCGCGTGGTGGCACTACAGTTTGCGGGCCGTCGCCCCTATTGAAGGATCCATTATTAATATCTCATAATAAAACTCCTACTTTTCATCTAGTTTTAGCTTAGGTACATGTTTTAAAATTCACTAATTAATTTTCCGTTACATATTTTCCGTTAATTAATTTTTCTTAACTCTTAATATATATATGTATTTATATATATGTATGTATGTATAGATTTTAACATTTACAAGTATTCTTAAGACTTTGTAGTTCTAAAATTGATAGAGACATTAAGATTTTAAATTTTAGGATAATTAGTTAGAATTTTAAAATTAAATTTTATGGCCATAATAAATAATATTCATCTTCTTCTAATAAATTGAAATTCATCAAATAAAGTGTCAATTACTATAATTAATACAAAATATTACTTATAACTATTATTTTATATAACCTAAAAAATGTTCTAGGAGTACTAATTATTGGCAAAAACGCTTTACAAAAAAATAATTAAATATTAATTATATTTATTAGGAGAGATATAACATTGGAGGAAAGGGCGGGGGCTTAGTATGGGTCTCGCCCTTCTAAAATTTTAAATTTTAATATTTTTTTAATTTTTTTAATTTAACTCTTCATTTTTTTAAAAAATTATAATTTTATTTTTATAAATATTAAATTTTTTGTTGTCCTTCTCTTAAATATAAAATTCTGACTCCAAATTAAAAATCGTTAAATGTCAGTGTAGTGGTGGTCAATATTCAAACCTATGCCAGTGGCTCTTAATTAATATAATAATGAGCCGGAACAGGACAACACAGAGCAGCCGACTTTGGACTATTTTCGCTTGTTGACAAAAAATAAAAATCCCATATAGCCAGCTTCACCTTCAAAAAATACTTTGTTTATGCCTTGCCAATTGCGAATGGACGGTCCAAAATTGACTCAAAAAAGTTAATATTATTAATAAATAGATGAATAAATATTTGACTTTTGTACTTGTAAATATATATGTTTGGCAATAAGATTTAAAATTATTATTACTATATCTTTTCAAATTTTTACCGTTAATACATCTTTATTCGAATAGAACGAAGGGTGGTGTAATTAATTTATCTTATCGTGTTTTTGAAATCTTCAAACATCAGAGACAATGTCGATAGATGTTTGTGACAGAAACCAATTTGTTACATCCATATTATGTAATTTGCGTTTGAATACAATAGTTATGTTTTGGCTCTATCTGTTGACTTTGCCTAGTTAATTCAATTCAGTTACGAACAATATTAAATTGTTGAAAATGTCATATCATTGCTAAGAAAGTTGTATAATTAATTAGTAGAATTCGCTTTACGTGATGTATCAACTATTAATTTTATATACATGTATCTGTTAAATTACGTATCGTAAATAAAGAAGGTTAATTTTTTTTATTATTTAATCCATTATATATTAATTTAATGTTAATATTTGAATTTGAGATAACATTTAAAATTATTTCGGTGATTGTTACTCTTTTAAAACTAATTAACACATTAAAAGCAAAGCAAACCCTTCAAGTAAATATTGGTAAATTGTAAGACTTAAACTCATAAAAAAATATTTATTCTAAAGATTTTTTCCATATTAAGCTAAAGCTTTACTTACTTAAATCGTTTACATCTAATACAAATAATAAATAAATAAATAATCAAAAAATCTACCAATAACGCTTAGCTACACACTAAGATTTTAAAAGTTATAAAAACTTAGTAATAAATGTATAAATGAATTATAATGTGAATTGTAATGTGAATATATGATTTTTTGTACTATTTTTCAATTTGATATATTATTATTATTTTCATTTATGTTGATAGAATATATATGTGCTTTAATTATTGATTAAATTTTTTTAAAATTATAAAATTTAAAGTCAAGCTCGAACCACAAATGATTGTTTTTATGAAACCACGCACCAACTCACATGGGTGATTCCCATTGATCTTAACATAAAAACCGTCCATTCAAACCATGCTCACCTAGATTAGAAGAACTTTAGGCTTGTTGGGATTGAATATACACTTACGATCAATGATAGAGTTAGTATTTTATGTTTGAAAAATTGAAAATAAGAAATTTAATATTTGTAAGCTTTAAATTATAAATTTTTTTTAAAAATAAAGAGTAAAATTATAATTTTTTTTTAAAAAAATTAAATTTTAAAATTTTTGAGGGACTAGAACCTTACTAACTCTCTTCCCTCCACCTCTGCCTACGACGGGCCGAATATTATGTACTAAGTTAGGCCAAACTATCAGTCTTTTAGATTTTTAAATTATCGATCATTTATTTGATCTTTTCGTATTTTCTTGTCTACAATTTGGAGGGAAATGCTAAGATTCCCTATGCAACATCTGACAAAAAATAGCTTTGCATAACTAATTCACGATTCTTCCTTACAAAATATTCAGCTTTTTATTTAACTCAAAGCTTCGTACGTCTTCATCACATAAACAAAAAGCACAAGATCATACATCCATGAAAAGGCAATAATGCAAATGATAACAAGTATTATACACCAAGAGCCTTGATTCGGAACTAATTAAGCACCTTGAGCCTTTGCTTTGAGGCTCATCTCAATCTCTTTGGCAACTTGGGAAAGTGAAGTACAAGAAGAACCACCCTTGCTCAAGGCCTTTTGTGCAATATGTTTTAATTCCTTGGCTCTATCTCTTATCTGCTGTCCATCCTTGTCTACCATGATCTTTCTCACCACCATCTCCAACTCTTTCCCCTCCACTATCCTGCTTGAAGTCGACACCTTTGGCCTGACTGCCAAGCCAAGCTCTTCCGTCAGCATTGTGGCATTCATTTTTTGCTCCGCGTAGAGCGGCCAAGCAATAAGAGGTACCCCGTTGATTAGACTTTCCATGGTTGAATTCCATCCGCAATGTGACAGGAATCCACCAACTGATGGATGGGCCAAAATATCTGTTTGTGGAGCCCACATTGGGAGCAGTAGTCCTCTATCATGGGTCCGGGTCAGAAACCCTTCGGGTAAGTAATCCGGGGTACCATCCAAATCGTTTCCAACAGTGAAAAAAGTCCCGGATGCATCGTTCTCAACGGGAGGACGAACCACCCAAATAAATCTTTGTTGGCTTTGTTCCAAGCCCCAAGCGATCTCAGTCATTTGCTTGGCTGACAAAGTACCTCCACTTCCAAACGAGGCATAAATCACTGATTGACTAGGCTGCTTGTCTAGCCAATCCAAGACCGGGTCAGCTAAAACCAGGGGTCCAACCGGTCTCACAACCGGACCAATTGGATATACGGGTACTTTAGCAACCCGGCCCAACAGCTCTGCATCTGTCAAGGATCTAAGCGTTGCGGGCTCCAGGTCCTCAAAAGTGTTCACCAAAATCCCATCAGCTTCTGGAATTTCAAGCCCTACACGTGCATATTCTCCATATAATTGATCATTTCGGTTCAGATAAGCTTCCAGGGTATCCTCAAACCGAACCGGTTTGCACCCTGGAATCTTCAGAGGCTTTTGCTGCTTAACGTGCTGCTCATCCACCATTTTTTCAACGGTTGGAGCGTAAACAGTGATTCCAAGAAACCATGCATTGGAAGCAATGAAAACGTACTTCAACATCCTGAATTCATCGGCAACAGGTAAAGCTTCAGTCCCGAACAAATCCACAATCAAAGCTGATGGGCGAGACTTCATTGCAGCTACAGCGGAACGCAGGCCTGGCAAGGACTCGCGCATTATGACGGCTATTTTGGTTACCATGTGTGCACCTGGATCGACTTTGGTAGAGATATCTGCTGATGGGAGGGAAACAATGTTAAGAACGTCCATGTTGGATGGTTCAAGAAGTTGGTTTTGTGCGGTTGATGTTTCAGATGCCAAGACAAAGATTGTGATTCGGAAGTTATGGTGGGTAACCAGGCGCTTGCCAAGCTCGAGCACAGGGATCAGGTGGCCCAAACCAGGGCTTGCCAACAGGGCTACGTGCGGTTTTGTGGTTTGCATGATGATATCTAAGAGCTTTTAGAAATAAGGTTTTCTAATGTTTTGTGATGAAGGAGTAACATTGCTTGGATATTTATAAGCAAAATTGTTGCATTGGCAGTTGCTTTCTAATTTGTCATCCGCATATATTAAATCTACAAGGACCACATTGCAAGGTTGAAAATGGAGAAATTTTTTAAACTTTCTATCGAGCAAGCGTTAATTCTGCAATTTGGGTATTGATTAATTCACGCCCACCATTGAAACCTTTGTTTTTTCATCAGGTCAAGGATGAGGGGGTCTCCTTTTGCCAATAAGCTCCAAAACTCTAATCCAACTCAAAGCAAGTTCTATAGATTTAAGAAAAAAAAAAAACAGGAAGAGGGGATAAGAATAACTAAACAGAGATTGTTTAGGGCGCTGTGTCGGGTAATATATAGAGTAACTAATAACTTGGCATATGGCTTGTTCTTGATTGGATCAGGCAGTCAACTGACATGTTGATATATATAATTATGATTTAAATAACAAAAAAGGAGGAGGCAGACAATCAACAATTCACAAGCATTTCAACTTGTGCATGGAAATAAAAATTAAATCTTGAAACATTAATTTACTCTTAATCAAACAGAGTCTCATCTGTCATCGATCGATGGGTTACGTATATATTACTGTTCTCACATGGCTACTAAACTAGCTATAAACAATAAGTAAAGGTATATTACAATGGATATTTCCAAATTTTCATTACAAGAATATTAGTATAAAAATTTAGCTTTACTTGCAAACCCCATCAACATATAATGCAATCCCACCATAAGTTCCCAGCACTGGATTCCTTTCCAGCAGCTGCCATGTCTTCAATCTGTGTTTTTTTTTTTTTGGAAAGGCTTCAATCTGTCTTATTCCGATGACGATGATGGAAAACTTTCAAAATTCTTTCCTAAGGCCCAATTCGACAGCTTTGCGAAGCCTGCCTTCTCCTACCCCAATCGCCAAGTAAGAAAGTATTGTAAAAGGGACCTATATATACTGCGGACACAGACCTAAAATTTTATCTAGGATTTCAAGTGAGTAAAAATAGTCATCAAGATTTTGTATTTATATATTTTATTTTATTTAATTTATATATTCAAAATAGAAGTAATTTATTTTTTTGATTTTAAAAAATTTTTCAATTTAATCTCTCTTTCTAACAATATTTAATTTTATTTTTAAAATAATTATATTAACGCTGATGTTGCACATTTTGTTGATATAATATATCATATGGTATCAACGTGATTACGTAACAATACCATGTGACACTATTATGATGATGTGACAGTAACATGATAACATAGTAGTGCCACGAGGCATGTCAAAACTTTTCTTAAATATTTTTTTTATCATATCATAAGAATTAAATTGAATAAAAATATATAATATAATAACTAAATTCAAATAAAATTGAAATGTTGAGAGATTAAATTGAAAAAAAATTAAAAAATGCAAATCTTTTAAGTAGATGATAGATATACTTATGAAGTTAAATATTTAAATATAAAATATTCATAGTGTTAAAAAATATATATAAATATTTTCTTAGTTGATTTTTTTATCATAGAATATGTATATTAATTTATTTTCTTTGCAAAAATTAACTTTGAATTCTCATTCTATAAAAAAAATAAAAAAAATTTATACTTAAAGTTAAATTTAGATAAATAACTTGCATTATATTGAAATAAAATAATATAAAAAACAAAATCAAATTTTTTCTTTATTTATAATAGTACAAAAATTTAAAATTTATTTAATTAATTTTTAACTTGAGTTGAACTCAAATTAACAAAACAAATTGATTATATATATACCTAGCTATTTTTTAAAAATTATAAATCAAATATGTAAAAATTTTAATTAATAAAATACATGATTTTATTTTTATGTTATCTATTTATGTTATAATTGTTCTTACATTTCAAACATTTACTCATTTTTAGCCAATTATGATTGATTTTTTACTTTTTGTAACATACAGCAACTTTTGACCCCCACTTCTTCAAGAAACTTAAATTCTATGAACACAAATACATTAAGTACAGAAATAACTCCAGGGGCTTTAAATAGTGACCATAAGCAATCCTTTTGCCCTAATGGAGCTTCTTTTATCATTGAATCTTACAACTTTTTTCTTCAAAGATATGTGTCTCGAAAGATATTAAAAGCTTTTCCTTTTATTTTAATTGCTTGCACTGTGTAGGAGCTGGGAAGCTCATGCTTCCGCTTACTATATTAAGCACCCTAATGTTTACGCTTGGAGGCGCTGCAAGCAATCTTTGGCGATTTGGGACAATGAATTGTAAGAGGAACCGCCCTTGCTCAAAGCCTTTTCTGCACTGCTGTTTAGTTCCTTGACTCTGGTCCTCATTGCATGCCCTTCCTCATTGTCCACCATGATCATTTTCACCATCGTCGCTATCTCATCCCTCTCAACAATTTCATCAGTCTGTGACAACTTGGGTCGAACAGCAATCCCAAACTCCTCCGTCAGCAATGCAGCGTTCATTTTTTGCTCTGCATAAAGCGGCCACGCGATCATTGGTACCCCATTTAAAATGCTCTCCAAAGTTGAATTCCAACCGCAATGGGATAAAAATCCACCCACTGATGGATGACTCAGGATCTGTGCTTGAGGTGCCCACATTGGGATCACCAAACCAATGTCCTTGGTTCGAGTGAAGAACCCTTCAGGCAAGTAATCCGGCATGCCATCCCCGTCGTTTTTCCCTATGGTGAAATAGGTCCCAAGTGCATTCTCTGATGGAGGACGAACCACCCAAATAAATCTTTGCCTGCTTTGCTCTAAACCCCAAGCCAACTCTATTATTTGTTTGGCTGATAAAGTCCCTCCACTTCCAAACGAGACATAAATAACTGATTCGGTGGGTTGCTTGTCAAGCCAAATCTTTACTTCTTTATCTAAAACCTGCTTTCTATCCTTCCTGATCAGTGGACCAACAGGATAAATGGGGACCTTAACGACTCTCCCCAAGAAGTTATTATCACGAAGTGCTTTAACGGTTGTTGACTCAAGATCCTCCCAAGTATTAATCAAGATCCCATCGGTCTTTGTCATCTCAGTTCCCAGAAATTGAGACCCATCAAACCTATCAATGTTGAGAAAAGATTCAAGGGTATCCTCAAATCGAAGCGACTTGCAACCAGGAACTTTTAATGGCTTTTGGCTCTTAACATGTTCCTCCCAGATTACATTTTTACCGATGCTGGATGAATGTAACGCGACGGCGAGGAACCATGCAGTGGTGGTGTCGAACACGTACCTAAGCATTCCAAACTCGTTGGCTATTGCAAAAGCATCAGTTCCGAACAAGTCCACAACCAAAGCTGTCGGGCGACACTTCATGGCAGCAATCGAAGACCTGAGGCTTGGCAAGGACTCCCGCATGAGCACGAGCAGTTTCGCGACGAGAGGGGCTTTGGGGTCGACTAGGCCGGAGATATCCACAGATGGGAGTGCAACAATGCCAAGATCATCATTTGGGGTTGGTGAGTTGAGAAGGGAAGTTGAGGCAGGATCACTTGCAACAACGAAGACTGTTACAAGAAAATCATGGTGAGTAACCATTCGTTTGCCAAGCTCAAGGACAGGAATGAGATGTCCCATGCCAGGGCTGGCGAGCAGGGCAGCGTGAGGCTTCTTGACCTTTGTCATGGCCATGGCTGAGAAGAATTGTGGGTTGCTGGTTTGTCTTGAACTTGATCAAGCCTGAATCTGGTAGACGTTAATTTATAGAAAAAATCATGGTATCTATTGCATGTTTCCTAAATATCATTTCTTTCATTAGGGAATATTTTGAATTAATGGTAATTGACACAATTTAAGGAAAAGAATCTGGGAAAATTTTATCATCCTTGGCTGGCTTGCAGCAATCCATCATCTTTGGTTTATAAGGTACCCTATCGACGCACCGATTTGTACTTTAACTTTGACTTTAACAAAGATATAGACCGCATATTTTAAAATTTAATTTTATGTTATTTAGGTGAAAAATTTCGTGACTAATCTTTCCACATAATAGTAGTAAATATTATGGGTGAGTAAATGAATGTATTGGGTAGTTGGTCCATCATATCTAAAAACTAAATATATTAAATATTTTTAGAAAATCGATCAAATATAAAGGAAGATCAAACCAATCAAATTTAAAGAAAGACTAAATCGAATAAATATAAAATTGGTTCAATCGATTTGGTTTTAGATCAATGAATTAAAATTTTATCATTTTTTTACAATTATAATATTAAAACTTATAAACTTCATCCATAATTATAAAATATACAAATTATGTATAAATTAAATATATGTATATATATAATATTATTTTATTATATATATAAAATTAATGACACAACTTATATATTATAATATTTTAATTTTTATGTGTATAAATAATAATAAATTATAAACAATAAGTTATAAAAATTAAGACAATAACTAATAAAATTATTAAGTGTAATCATATAAATAAAATCTATTATAAGTTATAGTAATGCTTATGTATAAATTAAATATATGTATATATCTAATATATTACTTTATTATGTATATATGAAATTAATGACATAATTTATATGTTATATTGTTTTATATCAAAATTTGTATAAATAATAACTAATTATAAATAATATATTATAAAAACTAAGGTGATAACTAATAAAGTTATTAAGTGTAATGATATAAATAAAGTTTATTATAAGTTATAGTAATACTTATGTATAAATTATATATATATATATAATATTTATACAATTATATATATATATATATTCATAACATTTTATATTGTGAAATATTATTAAGGTGTAATAATTATAACATATAAATATCTAGGATATTACTATCATATATTATAATATTAACATATAAGTTATATTATTTGAAACATATAACTTGTAATTTCATATTAATATAGATTTATAAATAAGTATATATAATTAAAATTAAATTGTTATGATTATAATTCAAACACGTACAAATAATAAACTCATATATTTTAAGTATATTATTAATCAAGTTTATTATCAATTTTTTTTAATATAAATAAAAAAATTACATATATTAATATATATATAAAAAATTAATTTGATTTTTTGAGTGAATTGGTTTAAAAATTTTAAAATTGAAAACCGACAGAAAAATCAATTGAATTAAACGTTTTAGACCAATTAAATCGAACCATTTTATCCAAATTACATTTAGTTTGGGTGGATAATTAATCAAGTTTGGCTTTGCTCACCCCTAATAAATACATGCATGCAAAATAGCCAATTAAAGCATTAATCTCTAAATTCCTTGGCAATGACTTATAATCTCAATCCTTCATTCCAGCAGTCACTGAAATATATCGAATCCGCATGCATTGCATCATCAATCTAATTAATCACACCGTATAATTACTAATTTTTCCTTAATAATCTTTCTAGGTTATGTTCCAAGCTAGCATTGGTGGGGGTGGTGCCATGGGGCAATTAAAAGTTGAAAATAAAGTCTAAACCCTAAACTCGAAAGACTATAGTATAGTATACAACATTTAGAACTTCCTCTTCCCCTGAAATTCTTAATACAAATTGGCATTAAAATGTGTGCAAATCCCACACCTTCTTTTTCTCAGTCAAATAAAGGTACAATTTCACTTTAAATTATATTCAAAACAGTAAATAATTACCACTACGTATGAAATGTCTTAGATCTATGCCAAATTTAGCTAGCGAAAACACAAACCTCCTCCAAGAGCATGCACAAAAACAATATCACCCATCTTTTTTGTCAAGTTATCAATTTCATTTAATAAACCATTCGTTCACTAGTACCTTTCATCTGGTTGTAGTTAGGTTTTAGAAACTTGTTTAATTTGAACTTTTCTACCCACTTGTCCACTAAATTAATTTCCCCCTTGATATATGTATCAAAGTTGAATTTTTCTTGATTTTCCATGCATTAATTTTTAAATTTTTTGGTACAAGCCTTTACTTTTTATGAATGTATGTATGTATGTATGTACAAATCTTTATTTTTAAAAATAACATGGCATTAAAATTTGTTGTATGATAATTGCGTGTAGTATTAAATAAAATATGTACACAACAATAAAAACTTAAGAAGCAAAATTGAGTGAGTATTATAATTATATAAAATAGTATAAACTAAGTACCTTACCTAGTTGTAGTTCTTTTAATATCTCATAACAAGGTTTGTACTTTTCATCTAATTTTTGCTAGTTTTCTTAAAATAGTTTAATTTCCAACCTTTCTACCCCCTCGTCCTCAATTAATTCAACAATAAGAGAATTTTTTCTCAATCCAAAACGATGAACAAAATACCTAAATAGCAATCTTAATGACCATCAAATCCAAAGTTTGAGTCTTATATTCAAAGAGAGCCAAAGAAACTTCCAAAAATAGAACCATATATATAGCGGAGGTCGATGGGAGAGGGTCCAGTAGGGCCCCTGCTCCCTCTCCAAAAACTTTAAAATTTTTTTATTTTTTTTAAATTTTATAATTTTGTTCATATAAACATTGAAGACATATATATTTGTTGAATTTCAAAAATCCGATTTACCACTTTGTGATTGATAGAAATATAATTATTATATTTGCGGTTTCACTATTTTATCTATCACCCAAATTTTCTTATTGTTGTTTTTAAATGCTTTTATTCAAAAAGCATAAACCTTGATTTAATCAAAAATAAAAGATTTTCATCATTAAAAACAATATCATTTCTTGCAATCTACATAAATAAAAAGATTGGCATCACACCATAAGAAATTACAATCTTCACAATTTCACACACATATAATAGTAATACTATAATTTTTTTTTTTGTTTTTAAGAGACACGACTAAATACAATATAAATGATAGAGAAAAGATTAACGCATTGCTTGAGCCAATGCTTTCAAAGAAGAACCATTCCTAGACCAAGCTCTTTCTGCGCTCAATTTCAGCTCCTTGACCCTAGCCTTCATTGCAAGACCTTCATCATCCACCATTATCCTTTTCACCAACATCTTTATCTCCTCCCTCCCCACAATTCCCTTTGATGGCAGTATTTTCTCTCGCACAGCTATTCTCAGCTCCTCTGCCAACATTGTAGCATTCATTTTCTGCTCTGCGTACAAGGGCCAAGCGATCATCGGCACCCCATTCATGATACTTTCTAAGGTTGAGTTCCAGCCACAGTGCGTGAGAAATCCTCCCACTGATGGGTGGCTTAAAATTTCAACTTGTGGAGCCCAATCTGAGACTACCAACCCCAGATTTTGGGTCCGGCCCATGAATCCTTCTGGCAAATAGCTTAGTATGTCATTGCTGCTGCCACTATCAAAAGTGAAAAATGAGCCGTCACCGGATTTTACAGCTGGTGTTCGAACCACCCAAATGAACCTCTGTCGGCTTAGCTCTAAACCCCATGCCAACTCCCTCATTTGCTCGTTTGACACCATCCCTCCACTCCCAAACGATACAAAAAGCACAGATTCACTCGGTTGCTTGTCTAACCAATCAAATAATAGCTTTTTGCATGAGTGATCAACTGCTCCGATCGGCCTTATTATTGGCCCAACTGGATAGATTGGCACCTTGCTGATACGACCCAAGAGCTTATTTTCCCTCAAAGAAGCAAGTGTTTCAGGCTCCAGTTCCTCCCATGTGTTAACCAAAATCCCATCAGCCATTAGAATATTCATGCCCAAATGTACGTACTCTGCATATTGTTGATCTGATCGGCACATCATTGGATCGACTACATCTTCAGGTTGAACTGGCCTGCATCCAGGGATAAACAGAGCTTCTTTCTCATCAACATACTCTCCTTTCACCACCTCATCTAATCTTGGAAGATATATAGTCAGTGCGAGACACCATGCATGCGTGGGGATGAAAACAAACTTTGGAATCTTAAAGTCATCAGCAAACCCTAAAGATTCAGTTCCGAAGAAATCAACTATAAGAACAGTTGGAGGGTATTTCAAACCAGAGATTGCAGATGAAAGAGCTGGCCTAATTTCACGCATTAGAACTGCTATTCGTGTAACCACAGCAGCGTCAGCATCAACAAGGTCGGAGATATTGGCTGGTGGGAGCCTGATGACTTCACAGAGCTCCGGGCTCACGAAGGATTGGAGGACCTGTGATTCTGCTGCTGATGGCAGAAAGGAAACAACAAAGATTGTAACCTTGAAATTATTGACAGTCACCAGGAGCTTTCCAAGCTCCAGGACTGGGATAAGGTGGCCTAGGCCAGGACTTGATAGTAGCACAGCGTGAGCCTTAGCGTTTCCGCCCTCCATATCTGAAACTAAAGCAAAGCAAGAGGATAAAAGAAAAATGGGAAATTAAAAGGCTAAAAGGAAAGACCGAAATCTTATCTTAAATCTTAAAAGTAGCATAAAAAAAAGAACTATAATCATAAAGTTGAATCTGAAGCATGCCCATCTCAATTGTATCATGATGCCTTTTTCACTTCCCATCTTTGGACGTGTGTATGGGACTGGTTTGATGATCAATCAAAATTTTCTGATGAAATTGGAGCTAGTGGTGGAGAATTCTTATCTGATAGTACCCTTCCTTCCCTGACTGTTCCCTCCTAATTGGCTGTCATTTCAGCGACGTTTACTCCTCGTACTAGAGGCTGCTGAAGTCTTTTAAATTGTAGCTACCCCACTGCCCACGGGTACGAAAAGTTCCGTTTGCTGATTTGCACTATCAATTGGAATTTTCTTCAATCCTCATGGAACACAAGATTCTAATTTCACAAAAATTAATGTCAATTAAAGTTGCTTGGTAAGTCTTTAGTTCATCATTGTTTGTTGTGAAAATTCAGTGATGGTTCTCATCTGGCTCGGATACAACCAAGATTCAGGTATGTTATTTTCACAGTCCGGAAGTAACACCTTTGACTCGTTGCACCAAAATAAGTACCCAAAAATCTATCCCAAAGAGTTGGAGTCCGTGGACTCTATTGCCTGCAGTAAACCTTCCTGCCAAAAAGAATTCAAGAAATAAGTCCAGAAATTATCAAGGCCCAAAGGGAAGAGAAGAGAAGAAGAAGAACAGAATGAAGCTCCGGCCAACGAGAAGGAAGCTGAGCATAAAAGATACGCAGCACCTACACTAACGTAGTGTTTTGTATAAGAAAAGTAAGAACACATTTCTTACAATATATACAATTAAAATACATTGTAGTATTTATTTTATAATAAATCACTATAATTTAAAATTATAATAAAATTACATTACAGTCAAAAGATATAATGTAATTACAATAAAAAAAATATAATTACATTACATTGCACATTGTAATATTATTGAAGATATTTTTACCTTTCAACTTTATTACTTTGTTAAAAATATTTTGTAATGTTATAATTAAAATAAAAAATAATATAAAAATTAAAAAATAAAATAAAATAAGTAAAAAAAATTAAAATAAAATATATACTATTAAAAATGATATTAAAGAAATAAAAACAAAATATAAAAAATATAATAAAAATAAAAATAAAATAGATAATATTAAAAATATATTTAAGAGATGATATTATATAAAATTTAATAATAAAAAATATAAATATATTAAATTTATATTTTAATAAATAAAAATAATTTTAAAAATTAACATTACGTTTTCAATAAAATACTTATAAATCAAACGTTATAATATTTTTTTTACATTTTAATCATTATTTTACTTATATATTAAACACCGTTACGTTATTTTTCTTACAATTATATTATCTGTAATCATATTATATTATAAAATATTAAGCATTACTTAAATGAAATATACTGTTTAACTAACTAAGATTTAAAAATTAATTGAAGTAGTTAGTTAGTTACTCTATACAATTAGCCTTTGTACTTAATTAATTAGTTATTGCCCAATGTATATAAGACTGTGAAAGGCATTGTTTTCTCTGCAATGAATCAGAAAACTTTTTCACAAAAATTCATTCGCCGTTTTGTCCTTTTCTTCCATATTTGTCACTTCCTACTGACAAACTCAAGGCAAAATACATCAGATCAAACCACCTCATATTCTTACCCTGTACATGCACGAGAGAATAAAAGCACAAGAGATCACCTAAGTGGCCAAATTCCACCAAAAGAAGCTCCTTCTTGCATAAGCAACCTCCTTCAACAGGACCCCCACAGAAGGGGCGGGTATCCCAAAAATCCAGGAAAAGAAAAGAACAATTTCGAAATTGCTCCTCGACTCCCAATAAAGAACCTCAGCTGAAAAACTCATCACAGCACCCAGAAAAAGCACAAACGAGGCTACTCCAGCACATTGATGCAGCAACTTATAAACAACGCATTGAAGGAGAAGAGGAAGTATTGCTGTAATCCCAACAAAGCACTACCATGAACCTTGTGTCCCTTCACCAAAGGTCGTCAAAAACAGTTCTTGAGACCTCACATACCTCCTCTCATTCCTCATTATCATTAACGTTAAGGAGATCAATTGTGCGTTTGACCCCTCCTTTGCTAGGCTGTTGACGAGTTGATTCTTTTCACTAAAAATGTGGTTGACCTCCATTTGTTAACCCCCTTCTTAAGCTTTTCAATAGGCAAGATCCACCTCCAGAACTTCCAAGGGGCTCATCCCGGTTTATTTACCCATTTCACAGCATTTTTTGGGTTGCTTTGATCACTAACGAGTGAGAAGTGGCCCACTTAGACGCTAAGAAAATAAGGAACGCTTCTCTTATTGCTCTAACTTCAGTAAGGCTAGAGTCTCCAACCCCAGTGGATTTGGAAAACAGAATTCCTGTCCATTAATTTTCATCTCGCAAAACCCCACCAATCCTCGCTTCACCCTTGGGTAACCCATCGACATTGAACTTCATTTCTCCACGTGCTGGTTTGCACCAACTTTCCACAATCTTATCCTTTTTTGCCAATCTCATCACAACCCCCCAGATGGGTTTTTGTATGTATCAATAACAGTCCCATACTCAATAAACCACCTAGCTTTAGCTTACATAGCAACTCTTAACTTGCCCACTTCATACACTTGGTTGACATCCCAAAGCATCACCCTAAACACCATGTCATTTTTATGGAGCCACACCGACCATATGATAGCATAAAATCCCAAAATCCAAACTTTTTGATCTTCTTGTTGTAGTTCATCATTATGAGTTAGAAAGAAATCACATATTGTTTAATTACATTCGAAAGTAATTATCTCTTGGGTGCGTAACTAATAGTTAAGATCATAAGATAAGTGGTACATTTTATCTTTAAAAAAAAAAGATAAATGGTACATGTTTAATGAGATTTGATAGTTTTAGAAAATTTATTGAGAATATTACTTCTTTGTATGCTTTTTGCGAATTTAATGTTTTTGTAGATTTTTTTTGTTAAATTTGATAAGATAGAAATGTTTTATGCTTGGTGGTAAATTGAATCGAATTTTTATGTTTCTTTATAGGGTGCTGAACTATAATTTAAGTTTCGATGTTCAATTACTGTTAGGTTTTTGCTTTTAAAAAAAATTACTGTTAGATTTTTGGCTGTTTTTGTGTCAGGACTACTATTTTGTATAAGTTTTTATATTAATAAAAAATTGATTGAGAAAAAAAAATGGATATACTAATACTAAGAATCAAAAGCATATCTGTACATTAAAGACAAAATTATTTATTTTGTACAAGAATTTGAACTCGCAATTAAAGGTAAAATTATTGCATAATCATGGAGACTATCGACCATCTCTGTTCACTACTCTCTTCTCAGTTCTTAGTTACATTGTTTCACCATTTCAGCTAGTGCATTGTACGAAGAGCCACCCTTGCTCCATGCTTTCTCTGCACTAAGTTTTAGCTCCTTGACTCTGCCTCTTATTTTGCCCCCTTCTTCATCCACAAATATTTTCTTAACCATCGTCTCGATTTCCTCCCTCCCCACAACACCCTTGGATGGTATCGTTTTCGATCGAACAGCTATGCCAAGCTCCTCTGTCAACATCGTAGCATTCATTCTTTGCTCAGCGTACAGCGGCCAAGCGATCATTGGCAATCCATTGCTGATACATTCCATTGCGGAATTCCACCCACAATGTGTGAAAAATCCCCCGCACGACGGATGGCTCAAGATTTCCACCTGCGGAGCCCATTGTGGAACCACCAGACCCCTCCCATGGGTTCGAGACATGAAACCTTCGGCTAAGTAACTCGACGTTTCATTAACGTCGAACCCAAACTTGGGATCGGACCCAATTCCAGTTTTTGTTGTGGGTGGACGCACTACCCAAATAAACCTTTGTTGGCTTAACTCTAAACCCCAAGCCAGTTCTGTCATTTGCTCGAGTGATAGCACTCCCATGCTTCCAAAAGAAATATACAGCACAGATTCATTTGGCTGCTTGTCCAGCCACTCAGATAGCTCGCTCTTTGATCCGACAGCTCCTTCTGCGGTCACTGGGCCGACGGGGAAAATTGGTGCCTTGGCAACACTTCCCAAGAGCTTATCATCCCTCAGAGCTGCTAGGGTTGTGGGCTGCAGCTCCTCCCATGTATTCACCAAAATTCCATCAGCCTTTGGAATCACTGTAGCCATACGTATGAGCTCAAGATAATTATTTTTAGTTTGGACCAACATAGGATCTGGCAAATCTTCTGGTCGAACCGGGGTGCAACCTGGAAGAACAAATGGTTCCTTCTGATCATCATCGCGAAACTCTCCTCCCGCATTCTTATCTAATATTGGAACATATAAGAATAACGCGAGATACCATGCATGAGAGCTCATGTAAACAAATTTAGGAATCTTAAGGTCATCAGCAATCGCTAAGCAATCAACTGCATAAACATGAACAACGACAGCAGTTGGAGGAGTCTCCAACGCAGATATTGCAGACCGGAAAGCTGGCTCGCTAACACGAACCACTGCTGGAAGCGACGCGACTCCCATCTGGCCAGGGCTAATAAGGCCAGAAATGTCTGCTGGAGGCAGTTGGATGACATCAAAGAGCTTTTCACATTGAGCAGATTGCACCATCCGTGATATTGTTGCTGCAGATCCAAGAAAAGATGTGACAAAGATTGTTACTTTCACGTTTTGGTAAGTGACGAGGCGTTTTCCCAGCTCAACCATAGGCGTACGGTGAGCCGGGGAGGATAGTAAGGCAACGTGAGGCTTTGTGTTTGAGAACTCCATAGATAAAACCTATCAATGATTGAGAAGAAACAGAAATTCTTCCTTTTGAATAATAAGTTGAGAGATAAGAAACGAAAATGGAGCATGAACTTTATATATAGAGAGAAAACTAAATGGTAAAATCGAAGAGTGGCTAAGGGAAGAACACAACGGCTCGAACAGTGGCATAGTTGGTGGCCAACTGGCCATGCATGAATCCAAACTAATTTATGGAAATAACTAAACTCAAATCCGGGGATTTTCTTATGTCCTTTTTTAAGTAATGAATCCGAAATACTTGTATATAGAAAGATAAACCTCAAATTTATTTCCTTACATAATTTGTCAAATACATTATTATTTATAGTAACACTGGATCTTTACTAATTTTGTAGAATTATATATACATTCCACATTCATTGAGTAGAGTCTACCAAAACCTTATCCCATCCTTGATATTAGAGTTAACATATGAATCAAAAATTTCCCATTCAATACAACAGAGGTTAAGGCAACCTCTCCCCAATTTAATTCCAAAGCAAAAGCAATACAAGTGACTAAGAAAACAGACAAAAACAGTGTGTTGCAATCAAAGGAGCCAGGCACCGAACCCACATTTCAATGAAACAGGCAAGGCAAACCAGCAACAGAAAATAAAACCAATAAGCACCTACTATCGCCCCCCTTCCCCTCCCCAGAGCTTATATACTGTACCCATTTAACAGCATTATGGGAATCACGTTCCACCTCAATGCCGTGAAGATTAAGAAGTCCTTTCCAATGGCTACCAATTCAGCGGTATTTAGAATATCACCCCTTCTTCATTTTCTCGTTGAATAAAAAGTAAGGTGCTGTTTGATAAATTAAAAAAATAAATATTGAAAAATTAAGTATATTAGATTTATTATAGAACTTAAATATGGTTTGACCTATGAATTAAACTAAAGGGAAGGTAGGAATTAACACTGTTTAGAAAGGATCGATGGAAAGAAGTTTCTAGAAATCGAGGGAAGGTAGAATTAAAAAAAATGCATATGCATTCTTAGGTAGAATGGAAGAACAACTTCATTTCATAAATTAATCTTGCCTTTCTAATTGACGTTAAACACTTTTAACATAAAACAGAGTTATATTAATGGAAACTATTGCATCAACGTGTCAACTGCCGGCTCTTCCGACCATGTTTAACCATTTCATGCAGTGCCTCGTACGATGAACCGCCATGACTCCAAGCTTTGTCTGCACCAAGTTTTAGTTCTTTGACCATGCCTTTTATCTTCCGTCCTTCTTCATCTACGAATATTTTCCTAACCTTCGTCGCTACCTCTTCCCTCCCGACGACTCCCTTGGATGGTATTGTTTGTGATCGAACAGCTATGCCGAGCTCTTCTGTTAACAACGTAGCATTCAT